CGATACTCTCGGTGGGACAGAATTAGAACTATCTTTGCTAAACTTGAAATATGAATTTGCCCATAAAATCTCTGCTTTTAATGGAGACAGGCTATTGAAATTTTTTTTTTGAGGCGGGGCTATCCTAATTACCATCTACCAGAATTCAGTTTTCCTCTTACAAAAAATGCCCTATCTTTTGGTTAAGAGTTTTGCTTAACTATCAGATGGTGGCCACTTCCTTAAGGTAGGTGAGTCCGGGTGGCTTGAGGTGACTATCCCATTCCTGGAGTTGCCACAGGCAGAGTGCTCAGTGACTGCTGCAGCCAGGAATGTAGGGTGCAAGGTTGGAAGCGTCAGACAAAGTCCACTTTGCAGGTAGCCTTAATTTTCAGACGTCCATGGGGAGATGGAGTCTGCTTTGTCTGTCCAAAGGGGCATCCAAAGCATATATGAGCTTTTTTTTTTTTAAAGAGCTTATAAATCACAGCCATTTATGCTTAAAGGTGGTGATTTAACCAAGGGGAGAAGCCATGATTCACTGCCAGATTCACTGACAAAAGCTTCAGTAATTTTTCTTTTAAACTTTCTCAGTTGATGGTGGTTGGCTTGCCCTCAAGACCTTGCATTGTGATACCATTTTATGCCTTTCAGAGCGTGTAATATTACCTTTAACCACAATTTTTCAATTTGCAATGGTGAATCTCTTCTCCATACTTACTCGGGAGGGAATGTGTAAAGCTGCCATGCAGGTTAGCCACCTTTTAGGTTTCATAATCCATGTCTCTCCAGCCCAGTGAGCTTAGCCGCGGCCACACATCAGAATCATCTGGGGACTAAAAACATACTTAGATCCAGTTGCCGCCTCAGACCAACAGAGCCATATACTTTTGAGGGTGGGACCTCATTAGTGCTTTGTAAAAGGACCGCAGATGGCCCTAATATATATCGCCAGGTTGAAAACCACTGTTCTAGCTTGATAAGGAAAGGAATTGAAAAAGTAAGAGGAAGCAGCATTAGAGATGCCAGTTTTTGCTTTGTCTTGGAAGGAATTAGTGAGGAATCCTATTTATTTTGTGAATAACACTCTGAAAGGCATCAGGAGGTGAGACTCATTGCATTGAGTCTTCAACTTCATCTTATCACAGACATATATCCTATGTGTTCTTCTCTGTGTCCCTACTGCTCTGACTGTAGGCTTCTTGGGGCAAGGACCATGTCTTTTTAACTACATTCTGAGTACCTAGCCCATAGTAGGTAGTCATCAAAAAAATACTGAAACAAATGAAAGACACTTTGAAGGTTTGGGAAGTTTTTAGATATTCAAACCAGAATTGGCCTTCAGAAGTTAAACTTCAGAATTCTGGCTCTCAATTCTCATGTCTGACCACTGCACTTGACCTCAGCTTCTCAGACCTGTCCTACTATCTCTCTCTGAGTCCCTCTAGATTGTTTTGGGGAAGCCCTGATGAGGTGGGGCATAGCCCTGAGGGTCTGTGTCACCTGACTTATTTGTGTCTCTTTTGTTTGTAGCCCAGTGCCTGCGAGCAGGTGTCATGGTTCCCAGAATGTACCACTGAAATTCCTGACACTCAGGAAATGAGCGATTGGATGGTTGTGGGGAAGGTAGGATTTCAGGAAAATGTACCCTGAATTGTTGGCACTTACCTTCTGACTTTTCTCCCCCTCGGTTTTGGTATGTATGTATATTCACAGGTGAAAAATGTGAATCTCACCATTCTGACAGGAATAAAGCTGTGTCAGGAGGATGTTTCAAGGGCTTTACAGATATGCCCCTGGGGGATGTGGCAGACAGGGTTTTTTCCTCCTCGTCATTGAACTTGCAAAACAACACAAAATGCATAACTTTTATCTTCCTCACAGATGCTTTTTAGAGTAGCTTATACACCTGTGTGTGTTTTAGTCACTGCTGGGCACTGTTCCAGGTAGATGAAAAGACACTGTACCTGTCCTCAGAAAGTAATGAGGGAGTTGTTATAGAGGGAATTTGTTTAATGTCCTTCTGGAAATTGTAAGAATAAAGCAGATAGCTACCACATCAGTATGGTCTAGAGAGTAGTTCTCAGAGTGTAGGGGCCCCCAGGGATCTCCAAGACACTTTCAGGGGCTCTGCAAGGTCAGAGTCATTTCACAGTGATACTGGAAAGGTATTTGCCTTTTTCACTCCGATTCTCTCACAAGTGCCGAGTAGAGTTTTCCAGAGGCTATGGCATGTGATATGACAACCAATTGAATGCAAACATGGACAGGAGAATCGAGCCATCTTCTATTAAGCCAGATATTAAGAGATTTGCAAAAATAGAATACAGTGCCACTCTTCTCACTAAATATTTTTTTTGAAATACAGTTATTTTTCATAAAAATGTTATTTATGTTAACATAACATATTGTTCTTTTAAACGGAATAAATGTTTTAAATTTTTCTCAGTTTTAATTTGTCATAAAACCTCGAGATGTATATGTACGTATATCTCCCACTTAAATAAAAGCTCTTTGGGGTCCTCTGATTCTGAAGAGTATAGAAACTGGCAACACCAAGTGTGAGCATCGTTGGTTCAGAGGTAGCCTCACTCAGATACGAGGTTGGACTTGACATCACTGTGAGCCTCCCTTGAGCCCTTGTTTTCCATGACGCTACCTACCTGGTCAGTGCCTGGTGTCCTGCATTCATACTCATCACAGAGTAAGAGGCTTCCTGGTTGAAGGACAGGCTTCTGTCACGTGGGGCAGCCCCATCCTTCTGCCTCCATGCCCTAGGGACAGACAACTTGACCATCTCCTTCCTGTTTGCTTTTCTCAGCATTCCTGAATCTTGTATCCATATGGCGCTCTCACCAGAGCACCCAGGGGACTGCTTCATCTCAGCACATCCAGAAGGATTTAGGACTTTCTTGTTCCCGCCCTCAGGGATTGCTGTTCTTGGGCAGGGACTCAAGCCCCTTCTCGCTCTACTTACTCAGAACCCTAGTTTCTCCGTTCATCCCCCTAAATGCAGTCACATGTGGTCATTACTGACTGTTTTCTTCTCCCTGTAGAGGAAGATGATCATTGAAGATGAAACAGAGTTTTGTGGGGAAGACCTGCTCCACAGTGTGCTGCAGTGTAAGGTAAGGCCTGGCGGCTGCAGCTGGAGTTGAAAACTGTGTGTGCGGGGCAGTGCTGGGCTTTGCCAGGTCTTTTGAGTCAGTACATTTTTCCTGGAGGTTGGATGTGTAGCTTGTATGTACACTTCTCCAAGGTGGCCTTTCTTTTCCCTTCCTGGTGACCTGCCTCATTAGTGGTGTGTTGTCTCTGTGATTGGTAGCCAGGAAAGGATCCATTTAACCTCGTTCAGTTGGTTCATTGTAATTTTGAGGGGGCATGGTATAATGAAAGGTTTGGAATCATTCTTTAGCGTCAGATAGACCTGAATTCAAACCCTAGTTTTTGCAGCTTTTTTGCTGTGTGACCTTGGGCCAGTTGCTTTAGCTTCATTGAGTTTGAGTTTCCTCATCTCCAAGATGGGGAGAACACATTTCCCAGAGTTGTTGTGAGGATTAAATGAAATAGTGAGTGTGAGGCTCCTTAATACTGGGTGAAATGTTAGCTTTCCCTGATGTCTTGTGGCCTGATTTGGGGTCAGGAAGTACACTGCCTGGAGCAGAGTGAGCCAAGGAAACAGAGGAAGAAGTGGGTTGGAGAAGCAGCAAGGCCTCAGACCAGCCTCACAATGCTTATATTTTTTGGCAAGCCAGAGGGTTGGGAATATCTTGACACTGACTGGTACTCATGTGAAGTGAGCCTTTTTGATTTCAGATAAAATTGGAGGAGGGAGAAGGGACCCCTGCTGTGTGGTAGGTGCCATCAGCAAGCCCTGGCTTTGGTTTATTTCCCCTCTCTCTGAGTGAGTCCCAGTTGAGTGAGCCTTAGATCAGAACTCTGGTCCCTTGGAAAGCTGGTGCTGGATGGAGAAGTGGATTTGCTGTGAGCATTAGCAATGCGCAGAGGTGACCCTGTGCATAAGCACAGATGCCTCTTATTAACCACTTACCATGTGCCCGGGTGTGCTTACATCTTGATTTTTAGCGTTTTACAGGTGATGCAGTTGAGGGTCAGAGTCTAGGGTCACACAACTGGTTATTTTAGAACTGGGACGCAGCAGGAGGGCTGTGAGTTGGGCTCCTCAAGCTCTTAAGAGCCCTGTCCCATCCCGGAGGGTGATGCTTACCTGAGGTTCTGATTCTCTCTGGGCAGAGTGTGTTTGATGTCCTGGATGGGGAGGAGATGCGGCGAGCGCGGACCCGGGCCAATCCCTACGAGATGATCCGAGGAGTCTTCTTCCTGAATAGGTTTGCTGACATTTCCGTGCCCCCCTGCTCCCCCCACACACACACACACACATGGGCTGTCCACCTTTCTTTGGGCCTCAGCTTTCCATTTGTCTGGTACTGAGTTGCGCTTCTCTGTCTCGCTTTGTTGCAGGGCGGCAATGAAGATGGCTAACATGGATTTCGTGTTTGATCACATTTTTACAAACCCGCGGGACTCTTATGGGGTGAGAACAAGATTCTGCTTCTGAATTCGTAGTGTTAAATGGGCTTAAGCTTCAGTAGCTCAGAAACTGCCATTTGTGCAATGCAATTTTTCCTGCTATGTGTTAGAGATGTGTTTTATGATAGAGATATTTCGCTTTGAGCTCCTCAGATAGGGTCCCACAGTGCATTTTGTGGTCCCAGGAGTGCCCCAGAAAGCACTGTGTCTAGGGCATCTGGCCCAAAGTCCTAGCCAGCTCTGCAGAGTCTGTAGCTCACTGCCCTTGGAGATGGGCAGGGACCTGCCTGGGCAAAATCAGCTGTGGCATCTACAGGCCTAGGGAGCAGGGAGGGGAGGCTACTAGGCAGACCATGGGCATTCATTAAACATGTATTTAGCCAGCCCCTCCTTTGTGCCAGGCACAGTGCTAGGCACCAGGAACATACTTTTGAATGAGATAGATGTGATCCCTTTCCCCATGGTGCTCAGGTTCTGGGCATTCTGGTGGACTGGAGAGCTAGGAAGGGTGCAGGGTTGGGATGTTTGTAAAGCCTTCCTGTGCTCATTGGTGTGTGGAGACCAGTTGTCTCCAGGTAGCTTTAGCCTGCCTTCTTTCTACCATGGATGATGGGGAGTATACAGTCTTTACAGTGAGCTTATGTTCCAATTCGAAATTTGTGACATCATCTGATTTGGGTGCTGTTTCTGGTATGAGACGGGAGTGATCTGGGAAATGTTTTAGAGTTGAATGAAATGTGGGTATCTGGATCCTTTCATGGTCGATTTACAATCAGCATCATGTCGCAAAACGTAGGCTGGGGCTGTGTGTTCAGTTGAGGGGGGCAGGGAGTGTAGCGCTTACATCACAGGTGGTGTCACTGAAGTTCAGGCCTCTTGTGAGTCTCAGCTCCTGTGAGTCTCTGACATTAGCCCTACCTCCCTGCCAGAGGGCCAGGGTAGGACCAAAAGGCCCATAAGAGTTGTTCCAGCTCTAAGACCTGTGATTTCAGATGTGGCCACTTTCCCTCCCTGCCTCTCTGAGTAAGCTTTGTGTGAGATCATTGTTATCAGGCCTTGGCCCTTCCCAACAAGTGGGAGAACAAAACGATTTTCTACTCTGCTACATCTCATTTCTCTGAACACACACACCCTCTGAGAAAGAAAAAAGGAAATTTCATTCTAGCATTATCAGGGGTTCAAAACATTTTTACTCAGCTCTAGAAAGTTAGTTCTCTTTGACAATGAAGGGGCCAGGAGTCAGCTGTTCCCAGACCTGTTTCTGCTTCACCCTCCCTCCTTCCACTGGGCCCCTTGATTATTCACTCACTAAAGATACTTCTTTTCCAAGTTTTTTAACATTTTACCTCTATCCACTTAATTCTTTCTGCATGCTGGCAAAACAGGCATGTAGTCCCCTTCAGCCATTAGTCATTTCTCTCTCTCAGGTCTCCTGCCCCTCCCATTTTTCAGTACCAACAGATAGCTCAAATGGGCTCTTGAAATTAGCATCTTGAGAAAATTAGGTTGATACAATGTTGATTTAATTTTCTGAGCTCCAAATGACTTCCTTTAAATCCTTTCCTGGCAGAGGAGCTCTGTCAAGCTGATGGGAAGTCACAGCGTCATTTTAGGCCTTTGAATGAAAATGCCTCCAGCAGCTAGTATCAGGTTGTTGTCTTTTGCTGTCAGGAAAATGAAGTAGGCACCAGGGTCTCACCATTCGGGTCCAGGGTAGAGATGTTAGTTACACAGGAAAAGGCAGCTGTGTCTGTAACACTTCAGGCAGTGTCTTGACCTGAATTGATTGTTAGTGGCCATGGAGAATTGCCCTTTCAGAGGTGTTTCTCTACACTCCACTATAAAATGTGATTTCTCTCTAGCCCCTAGTGTTTTCTTCTCTGTTTTCCCCTAAGAACCAGAGTGGCAGCCAAGGCCAGCAGGCTTGGTGTGTTTTTCAGGTAAGCAGAGATGCTCTAGAGCAGTTCCCAGAAGAGATGGGAGTGGCTGAAGTCCCAGGCACACACCCGCTTTACTAGGGTTGTGGTGGCTCTTGGATCAGGCAACTCATAAAATAGAAGCGTGGAGAACCTGGGGAGGTGTGGAGAGGTTGGAGTTAGAAAGCGGAGGGCGACTAAGGTTTTTTTTCCATGTGCTTCTGATTCTGCAGATTGTGATAAAAGGAGAGAAGAGACTAGGGTAGGGAAATAAAGAAATTGTAAACAAGAATTGGAAGAGACAAGGGAAAGAAGAGAATTTAGATTCTTTGGGTATATGGACGTGTCTCATAAACCATAACATTATGTGAGGGATTTGTGTGTCTGGGGATATTGTTGAGGTAAGAAAACATTGTTTTGAAGTGTAACAGGAGACAAAAACTGAGTGTAGATCTTGTAAGTTTCAGCGCTGTCTTTGTGGAAATTAGACAGCGTTTACAGAGTGCCCACTGAGTGGGAAGTACTGCACTAGGCCCTGAAAGAAGCAGGATGGAAAAGGACAAGCGCTGACTCCAAGATAGCTGGTTTAGTGCATACAATAGCTTAACGTTTGTTTAGTGTTTTACAGCGTATAAAGGTTTTTGACATATGGTAATTAATTTAATCATACAACAGTCTTGAGAAATAACCTACATTAGTTCCAGTTTACAGCTTGACATAAATTGTGTGCTTGCCCTTGACTGCACAGCCAGTGGGTGGCAGCAATGAGAACCCCAGCTGTCCTTTCTAGGAAAAGACCTTTTGGTAGTGGCCTGTGAGGGCCACACACCTTGAAATCACAAAATGAGATCATATTTATGCCCTCTTTTTGGAGGTGAGATGCTTTCACTGATTCATTCCCCTTCTTTCCACTGCCTTTTTTGGGCCAGCGGCTCACACAGAGAGGCTGGGGCCTGGGGCTGTGGCACAGCCCACAATGAGGAATGTTGTTTTTCCTCTTTCCAGCGTGTCCAGGCCTAAAACTTGTGACCCCTGCCTCATTACCACTGGGCTCTCTGGAAAGTGCTACATAACATTCTTGGCAAATGCCATCAGGTCTTTTTTTTGGTGTGCAAATGAATATAATGAAAAAATATGAACAATTGATGGCTCAGAAACAAAGAATGCTTGGGGTGGAATGGTGGGGAAGGGGAGAAAGAACTGATATATCCCAGCTAAAGTCACTTTTTCCAGAAATTTTTTCACTGTTTTGGTAAAGCTAGATAGCTATCATCAAAGGCAAGGCGCTTGCCACTTAGAAAGTGACTGGATTGTGAACATTAGTATTTCTGTTTCTTTCTTAGAGCTGTTACCCCTAAAGCTTTCTGATCTTTATGTAGCAGTTTCACAACTGGACGAGCACTCAGCCATGCCCACCTGCAGAGAGGGGAGGCTGAGCTGCTTAAGCCCCTTCCTTCCTACTGGATGTTCACCAGGGTCCTCTGCAGCCACCCACTCGAGAGCTCAGCCTCTTGTTGTCACCAGTGTAGATGGTGCATCCTCTCCGCTGTGGAGGGTCAGGACAAGTAGAATGAATTCACCATCGAGGGCCCAGGTGTGTAAAAAGAGAAGTGTAAACACACAGTATAGGTCAGTGCTGCCTTCAGCATAAATTTTAGATTAAAAGTTAAAGCTACTGAAGTGGCCAAAACAATAATCCAGTAAAAATTCAAATGATTGTTGTAACATAGTTATTCCTGAGGGCTGCCTGGAAGCTGCACACAGTGTATCCTTTTCTCTCAGCCTTGTCAGCTCCCGGCTAGCAGAGGGGCAAAGGCAGAAGAAGGGAGTGCACATGGGGAGGAGACTGGGTGCACTATATCCGAAACAGAACGGGGATTCGAGTGAAATCTGAATCAGCCTGGAGTTTAGTTAATAGTAGTGTACCAATGTTGGTTTCTTATTTTGACAAATGGCAGTGTAAGATGTTAGCAAAACTGGAAACTGGGTGAAGGGTATATGAGAACTCTGTCTGTCTCTTTACAGCTCTGTATATCTAAAATTATTCCAAAATAAAAAGTTAATTGAAAAAAAGGCAGGGGGGTGGGTCAGAGAACCTAGGAGGAAGGAGAAAAGGGAAGCAGAGGCTGGTCTGGAAAGGTAGGCGCTGTGACTGGGAGGAAGGGGTGATGTTAGAGCCCCCCAGATTTTGGTTGGTTAGGAAGCCCTGAGACTGGTGGGCGGGCTGACTGGATTCCGATTTAGCTTTGTGTGCAGATGGTATGGGAACAGGTCATTTTGTGTCTCTTTTTCCCTACCTGTAATGTGGGGGATACAGCCTCTATTCTGCTTAGTAGGACTCTTGTAAGTTAGGATAGGGTGAAAAAAGATGCTGAGGAATAAAAACTGCACGATCAGGTGCCCGTTAAGATGTTTTTATCAGGAGTCTGAGCTGGGCCTGGTGGTGCGAAAGCAGCAGGGGCATGTTGAGGCGGGGATGGCAACTCCAGAGGGTGATGGTCACAAAGGATCCATTTCCAAGGTGGGGCCCAGTGGGAACTCTGCATCGTGCTTGCTGAAAGGCTGATGTTTCTTCCCCTACCTTCTCCTCCCTGCTCCCCATTGAGCCATCTTGTTTCTCTTCCTCCCTTTCTTCCACTTGCCTTTGCAGAAACCGCTGGTGAAGGACCGGGAAGCTGAGCTTCTGTACTTTGCAGACGTCTGTGCGGGCCCGGGGGGCTTCTCGGAGTATGTGCTCTGGAGGAAGAAGTGGCACGCGAAGGGCTTTGGAATGACTCTGAAAGGCCCTAATGACTTTAAGCTGGAGGATTTCTACTCAGCCTCCAGTGAACTCTTCGAACCCTATTATGGTAGGGACACAGAGGAGATTATGAGGGGTTCTGAGGGACAGTCCTTTGTGGGGAATTTGGGTCAGAAGCAGCTGTTTCCCACTTGCTATGTTTCCTTTCTCAGGTCTCTCAGCCTGGGGTTCCCAGTCCATATCATGAAGCTCTCGATTCCCTGTAGACTCCCCCTTGTTACTCCAGCCTGTGGTATACAATTAAACACTTCAGCAGGCAAACCGTTAGCCAAGCCATATTACCGTATTTTGCCATGTATAATGTGCACTTTTTTGCCCAAATTTGTGAGGGAAAAATAAGGATGTGCATTATACATGAGTAGTACTATTTCCGTATCTATATAAATGTCTTTAATTCTCTTATTTATGCTTATGAGTTAAAAGTGTAACTCTAGAGGGCCGGCCGAGTGGCGTGATGGTTAAGAACTGGCTTGGGATGCCAGACGGCCCCGGTTCGGATCCCACATATGAGGGCCAGTGACACCGCCCTCTACAGCTAAGATGCTGAACAACAGCTCAACCTGGAGCTGGGCTGCTATGAGTCGCCGGCGACGGTATAGGCTGCAGCCCCTGTGGCAGTGGGTTGCTATGGGCTACTGTGTGTAGTCAGCAGCCAGCGTGAGCGGCCAGCAGCCACAGTGAGTGGCCGTCCAGAAGCCGGCGACTGATCTGCCTCGCCTGGGAAGAGTGCAGTGATGGTGCCAACTTGGGCCAGTGAAGCAACGTCTTCCACAACTAGATTGAAGAACAAAACGACAGCAACTTGTCTGTTTCCCTTCCCCCAATTCCCCAGCACTGTTCCCACCCCCCAATTCCCCCCCGCAAAAAAAAGTATTTCCTTAAAAAAAAAAAAGTGTAACTCTAGAAATCAATAATGATATCCGCATGCAAAATAATGCCCTGGAATATGATAACCGGTTTTGTTGAACTTATGAGGAACTTACAACAACGAAGAGTTCTTGGTCTTCTGTGATGCATAAATATCGTAAATTTGTTACCGGTACATAAAATTTCTTGTACCATAATATGTTAAAAAATAAATGCTAAAATTCCTTTATAATACAAAGAAACAAGTACCTAAGTGTAAAAAAATAAAAATTGGAATTAAAAAATTAAAATGAAAGATTTTTTTCCCTGAAAGTTTGGGTAAAAAATGTGGGTGCGCATTATACATGGGAGCACATTATACACGGCAAAATATGGTAATTTCTGCTTTCTTCTTTCATGGTGACAGGAGATAATGAAACTGCCTGATCTCTGGCTGAGAACTGACAGGGTTATTAACATACAAAACACCGCACCCATCTCCAGATCTTGTTGGACTGTGTGGGGTGTGAAATGTACTGGTAACAGACAGCTCAGGAGCCCCACAGTGGTCCCCTCTGCTTTGTCTTGGTTGTTGTCATTTGGCAGCAAATCCTAAGTCCTTTCTTAACAATCTTTATTAAAAAGTCGATATTGCAACAGAGTCGCTGGTTCAATTCCCGGCCTGAGCTGAGCTGCCAACAGCTGGCAGGGTGACTCAGCTTAATAAATCAATCAATCAATCAATCAATAAATAAATAGTTGATATTGGTTCCGAAATGTAGGTGCTTTCAACACAACTTTGGTCTTAAAGTCAAACACCCTGTGATTCAGTTGTTGACTCTTGGCTGGTCAACTCCTCTGACCTCTGCTTTGTGATAGCAGGGCCCTGTTTTTGCCTCCTGGCCCATCACTGCAGTGAATTGCTCCTCCCAGGGGCTTTTCTCCTGGGCCTGGAGACCCAGTGGGTACCTGTGTTCACAGCCCCAGAGGCTTGTGTCCCAGCTCCTGGGAGGCACAGGGCAGATGAGCTAAATGTGAATTTTGTGTCCTGCTAGGCGAGGGTGGAATCGACGGAGATGGAGACATCACCCGCCCAGAGAACATCACTGCTTTTCGGAATTTTGTCCTGGATAACACGGATCGCAAGGGTGTCCACTTTCTGATGGCTGACGGGGTAGGTGATCTCTCCATAGGGTGATGCTTTAGGGATTTATCACCTTAGAGGCTTGAGACTTGTTTTGTTTTTAAAGATTTTATTGGGGAATTGGGGGAGGGAAACAGCACTGGGGAATCGGGGAAGGGGAACAGATAAGTTGCTGTCCTTTTGTTCTTCAGTGCTTGAGACTTGTTTTTGTTTTGTGTTATTTGGTCCTTTAGTTGCCCTGGAAGGTACTAGCTCACTATTCAGATAGTAGGGGATGTAAGATGGATGTTTTTATTTTTTTGTACATATTTTCCCAAACCAGTTCTTAACCATCGCACCACTTGGCCGGCCCTTTGTACATATTTTCAATGATAACTCTGTCAAGGCAGTGATGTTATGGACACCTTTGCTTGGAGCAGGTGGCCCTTCTCAGCTTGCTTCTTCAAAGGGCCTCAGTTGGCTGTGAGACACAGTGAGGGAGGACCATGACTAAGATGAACTAGACGAAACTAACCAGGAAGAACATTTCCCCATTTGTCACCTGGATGCTGCTTCTGGCAGAGGCTGTCTGCACATGGCCACTCCTGAGCCTCTGGGTTGGCTGACAGATGACGACATAACCAAAGGCAGCAGCTCAGGGGAACCCACAGGAGGCTTTGTCAGGGGCTGGGCTAAAGTCAGTATTCAAGGAGCCTTGTTCCTCAGGCAACTGCTTGAGGCACAGAGGAGCCCACTGCAGCTTTCTCATGTGTCAGACAGTCTTTTCACCACGTAGACTAAAGGAGGGACAGGGAACATGGCAGCTGCTCCAGGGTCACATGGCTAGAGGTGAGAAAAGCCTCTGGAGCTCTTTGGGTGACCTTTTAGGCTGAAAAGTGTGGAAAGGTGAAGGCATGTGCAGGCTGAAGATGCCCTGGCTCACAGCTCACCACAGCATTGTGCACAGCAGGGAATAGCAGATGGACACACCAGGGGGGTTTGGGGGTCTCATAATGCTTGGGAGGCAGCTGTTGCAGGGTGACAACTAGAGTGGCAAACTCAAGGATTGTCTTTCTGCTTCAGCAATGTAGACTGGTGACCTGGGCTGCCTTTTTTTTTGGTTGACCCTATAAACACGCATGCGTTTTGAGAAGCATCTGTAAATCTGGAAGACATTGCTAACTGTTGTTGAGTCATTTAGCTGTTACCTTCATAGGACCGAGTCAGGGAGACCTGGCCTGGCTGGTCTTAATGGAGGCCAGCCTCATTTACTTTTTATTATTAATATTATTGTGATAAAAAGCACATAACATAAAATGTTTCATCTCAACCATTTTTAAGTGTACAGTTGAGTCGTGTTAAGTATATTCATCTTGCTGTGGAACGGATCTTCAGTACTTTTTTCATTTTGCGAAATTGAAACTCTATGCCCATTGAACAGTAACTCCCCTCTCCCCTACCCTCCTTTGCTTCTCTGTGAGCTTGGCTCCCTGCTCCCTGCTGGGATCTCACAGGGAAGGAGACCACTCCAGGAATAGCAACTGTACTACATTCTTGGAATAAACACCCCGGCCAGAGACTCAGCCAGCTAGAGGGAGAGGCTTCATGGTCTTGGGATAGGACTGTGGATTTTGTAAGTCCTGGTCAGCAGGGGAAAGAGAGACCGCTGACCGTTGTTGTGCTCACTTTCTCCTGTCTCCAAACTCGGCCTGTGCAGCGGTCAGCGCAGAGGCTGAGTGAGCCCACGCAGAGCACTCACCCCACACGTACTCCCTGGGTCTCGTCAGAGTCACAAGGGCATTCCGTGTCCTGCCTTGTCGTTGGCCTGTGACCAGCCAGCGTTTTGCATCTGTTCTGCTCACTCTTCCCTTGGGTTCCTATGTGAGCTTTATAATATTCGGGACCACCTCCTTGGAAAAGCAGACTTGGTTCCGTCCCCTGGGCATGACAGAGCAGGGAAACAGCCCTGTTCCAGTAGTCACGCCCTGGTCCTAATGCTGGCTTCATCCATAACGGACCATATGACCATGCCAGACTAATTCAGATGCCAAGCCGTATCTTTATCAGTCAGCGGTGGAGAACAATGAAAACACATCAGGAAATCTCAGTGAAGATGAGGTAGGGATGCTCTTTTCAGTCTTCATCACTGCTCTTTCCCACCCCAATCTTTCTGCTCTCATTTCAGGGTTTCTCCGTGGAGGGGCAGGAGAACCTGCAGGAAATCCTCAGCAAGCAGCTGCTGCTCTGTCAGTTCCTCATGGCGCTGTCTGTTGTCCGGACAGGTGACCCTTCCTCAGCTGTCTCCCTACCCAGAACCCACTAGAGGCCCTGTTGGACAAGAGCATGTGCAAGGGTTGACATGGAAGTTAAAAAAAAAAAAAAAATCTGTTTCTGTTAGGTGACAGGTGGCTGACTGAGGAGTTTGGGGAAGAAAGTGCTATAGAATCCCTAAAATCCCCTCTAAAGCCACGTCTCCCCTTGAATTGCCTCTGACTTTTGCCTCTGAATTGTCTCTGACTTTTAATGGACCCAGGTTCTGGGCCCCTGACTTGGTCGTATTTACTTCCTGAGACTGCCTTCCCCACCTCTTGCACTAGAACACACTGACCCACTGACGGCTCTTGGTGTCTTCTCTCTAACCCAGGAGGCCACTTCCTCTGTAAAACCTTTGACCTGTTCACGCCGTTCAGCGTGGGGCTCATCTACCTGCTGTACTGCTGCTTTGAACGAGTATGTCTCTTTAAGCCGATTACCAGCCGGCCTGCCAACTCAGAGAGGTGAGGCTTTCCTCTCTATTTTCATCAGACGAGTGGGCTGAATGTCAGAACACAAATCCTTGTGCATCTTTCTGGCATGACTGCTCAAGCTACAGCAAAAACCTTGACTTTAAAGAAGTGATTAGTGCCCAGAGGAGGTGGGATTCGTATCTTAGTGGTTCTGTGATATGCCAGTTCAGCCTCTCCCTCCTTCTCCACATGCCTTATTCACCACAGTTATGGAGGAGATCCTTGACTTGGCCCAGGAGGGAGAAGGTGACCGATAGAAGGGATACCTGGAGGGATATGGGTTGGGGCAGGGCAAGGGCACTACCAGGTGGGACACAGTGCCCGTGCACAGTGTGAGGGAAGATGTGGCCAATCTGAACTGCCAGGTGGCTTGTTAAAACCCGATTTCTGGGCCCCGTCCCTGGAGAGTCTGATTGATGAAGTCTGTAATTTAACAGACCCTCAGGTCATGAGGTGATGGTGATGCAGCTAGGTTGGCACAGGGCAGCTGGGAACGACTGCCATAGAGAGTAGAAAATAGAGCCCCACATAAAAAGGAGGGATTTGAGGTAAACGTTTGCGGCACAGAGCCTGTGCTGCATTTTGTGCCAAGACTTAAGGCTCCTGAGCCCCATGACCCAGTGAGGGGCTTGGGGAGGAGGAATGGTGGTGGGGAAGCTCAGTGGGGTGACAGGCTTTCTCTTGCAGGTATGTGGTGTGCAAGGGCCTGAAGGTGGGCATAGACGATGTGCGGGATTACCTCTTCTCAGTCAACATTAAGCTCAACCAGCTGCGGAACACCGACTCCGACGTCAACCTGGTGGTCCCCTTGAAGGTGATCAAGGAAGACCAAGAATTTACTGACTACATGACACGGTCCAATGAGAGGTAAGCAAACCAGTGTTTTTTGCTGGCTCCACTAGGGTGTCAGGGAAGACCTGAGAACAAAGGACTGAATGACTGGCTCTTGGTATCACTTTGTCAACCCTGGAAAATTGGTGACTGGGATTGGTCTGCTTGTTCTAGGGCTCCCTGAGACTTAGAGTACCTTGGGGACCCTCATCCTGCTCCCACACCCTGTGACAGGGGTGTCGGTGGGAGCCTGGCTGGCACAGCCCTGCCCGTGGGAGCCTGAGTATGGTAGTGAAACCTAGCAGAGTAGCCTTGTCCTGTGTCCCTGGCGGCAGGAGTAATTTCCCTTCAGTTGCTTCTGTTTTTGTAAAAGGCCGTCATGCTTGTTGCCTTGTGAAGCCTCTGTGAAGGCAGGAGATGGCTGGAAAGCAAGTATATGACATGCTTTGGAAGTTTCTGGTACCAAAGCTTTTGCCAGTTCATGAGTTCCCCAGATGGGTGATCTGAATGCTTTTCTTTTCTTTTTTTTTTTTTTTTAAACCTTCTTTAATTGTTTTCCTCCTCCCTGTTAGTGGTAATAATTTAAAGTTGTGACAGTTGGCTCAGTTTTCTAACTGGGCAAGCATTAGATAAAAGTTTTTTGAGGTAGGTTGGAGAGTTGTATAGTAGCAATGAATCAGAAGAAGTGCTTTCTTAGGGGTCCAAATAGGCATTGAAAAGGTCATTTTATTCATTCATCTGTCAATGGACATTTAAGTTGTTTCCACACCTTGGCTGTTGTGAATAGTGCTGCAGTGAACATGGGGATGCTGATACCGTTCCGAGATCCTGATTTCAGTTCTTTTGGACAAACACCCGGAAGTGGAATTACTAAGACATAATGGTAGTTCTGGTTTTTTATTGCCTCGTTGCACTGATTAGTTCCTCCAGTGTGATGCTGAATTGAAGTGATGAGAGCAGACATCCTTGCCTCGTTCTTGATTTTAAGTGTAAACTATTTAACTGTTAAGTATGATGTTAGGAGTAGTTTTTTGTAGATGTCTTTTATAAGGTTGACAAACTTTTCTTCTGTTCCTAGTTTGCTGAGAGTTTTTATCATAAATGGATGTTTAGTTCTGTCAAATACTTTTTCTGTATATGTAGAAATTATTTTTCTAATTTATTCCATTTATAGTGAATTACATTGATGATTTTCAAATGGTAAACAGATCTTGCATTTTTGTATGAACTCCAGTTGGTCATGCATTATCACTCATATATTGCTATATTTGATTTACTAATATTTTATTAATGATTTTTGTGTCTATGTTCATAAGGATATTAGTCTCTAAATCTGTATTCTTTTGAAGTCCTTGTCTGGTTTAAATATACATATATATTTAAATGCTATAAATTTCCCTTTATAGCCTCTATGCATAAATATATTAAAAGAAAAAAGGGTCCAAAATCAAAGAAGCTAGAAAAAGAAGAGAAAATTAAGCCCAAAGGAGAACAACTAAGATTATTCTAGCCAGCAAAGCTACCCTTTAGAATTGAAGGACAGATAAAGAGCTTCCCAGACAAGAAAAAGCTGAAGGAGTTCATCACCATGAAACCATAGTTACAAGGAATCTTAGATGGACTTCTTTAAGATGAAAAAAGAAAAAAAAAAAAGATTAAAAATATGAATGATAAAATGGCAATAACTGCATGTCTACCAATAATTACTTTCAATGTAAATGGGTTAAATGCTCCAATCAAAAGGTAGGGTATCTAAATGGATAAGAAAACAAGACCCTGGGGCTGGCCGAGTGGCGCGTTGGTTAAGAGCTGACTTGGGATGCTATCTCTGAGCAGCAAGGCCCTGGTTCAGATCCCACATGAGGGCCAGTGACACTGCACCCTCTACAGCTAAGATGGTGAACAACAGCTCCACCTGGAGCTGGGCTGCCATGAGTTGCCGGCAATGGCAAAGGCTGTAGCCCCTGCTGCAGTGGGCTGCCATAAGCTACCGTGTGTGGCCAGCAGCTAGCGTGAGCGGCCGGCAGCCAGCGTGAGCTGCCAAGAGCTGCCGTGAGCAGCCGTCCAGTGACCGGCGACTGATTTGCCTCACCTGGGAAGAGCGCAATGATCATAATACCAACATGGGCCAGTGAAGCGACATCCTCCACAGCTAGACTGAAGAACAAAAAAAGGACAGCAACTTGTCTGTTCCCCTTCCCTGATTCTCCAACGCTGTTCCCTCCCTGTTTCCCAATAAAATCTTTAAAAAAAAGTACAAATCGGCAGTTACAAAATAGTCTTTGGTATGTAAAGTAAAACATAGGGAATATAACCAATAATATGGTAATAACTATGTATAATGCCAGGTGGGTACTAAACTCATCAGGGGGATCACTTCTTAAATTATAAAAATGTCTAACCACTATGCTGTACACTTGAAATTAATATAACATCATACTGAATGTGAACTGTAATTGAAAAATTAAAAATGGGAAAAGTTAAAGGGGAATAAGAGGTTCAAATTTGCAGGTATAAAACAAATCTTGGGGATGTAATATACAACGTAGGAAATATAGTCAATAATATTGTGATAGCGTGGTACAGTGTCAGTCAGATGGTTGTTAGACTTATCATGGTGATCATTTCTTTAGGTGTATAAATGTTGAATAACTTGTATACACCTGGAACTAACATAATATTATATGTTAGCTATATTATAATTAAAATCTTAAAAAAAAATAAAAATAAAACCAAATAATTTCCTTTTAGTTTTTAAATTTAATTACAAATACTATAACTTATTTTATTTAATTATAGCATATATATTATATATAATATAAATATACATATATAAGTTAATTAATTTTCCTTTGGGGACAGCTGTAGCTGAATCTCCCACATTTTGATGTTACGTTTTTTTATTATTATAAAGTTCAAAATATTTTTAAAATTTCCCTTATGATTTGTTTTTTGACTCATGAATGATGTAGATGTGTGATATTTAATATCCAGCTATTTGGGGATTTCCACGATACTTGTTAGATTTGTCCCACTATACTCAGAATATACTCTGGCTCTTTCCCTGCCGCCGCAGAGTAGCGCGGAGGCAGAGGCTTGGGTGCATTCAAGATTTGGCTCCACACATAACCCACCGCCATGGCCGAGGAAGGCACTGCTGCTGGAGGTGTAATGGACGTCTGTACAGCTTTACAAGAGGTGCTGAAGACTGCCCTCATCCACGATGGCCTAGCACATGGAATTCGCGAAGCTGCCAAAGCCTTACACAAGCGCCAAGCCCATCTTTGTGTGCTTGTGTTCAACTGCAGTGAACCTATGTATGTCAAGTTGGTGGAGGCCCTCTGTGCTGGACACCAAATCAACTGAACTAAGGCTGATGACAACAAGAAACTAGGGGGAATGGGTAGGCCCCTGTAAAATCGACAGAGGGGGAAAGCCTGGTAAAGTGGTTGGTTGTAGTTGTGTGGTGGTTAAGGATTATGGCAACGAGTCTTAGGCCAAAGATGTCATTGAGGAGTACTTCAAATGAAGAAATGAACAAATAAACCTGACTTTTTTTTTTTAAAAAAAAAAAAAAAAAAGAATATACTCTGTATGATTTTCATCCTTTGAAATTTTTTTTTTTTAAGATTTTATTGGGGAATTGGGGTAGGGGAGCAGCGTTGGGAAATCAGGGAAGGGGAACAGACAAGTTGCTGTCCTTTTGTTCTTCAGTCTAGTTGTGGAGGACGTCGCTTCACTGGCCCATGTTGGTATTATCATTGCGCTCTTCCCGGGTGAGGCAGATTGGTCGCCGGCCTCTGGACAGCCGCTCATGGCGGCTTTTGGCAGCTCACGCCAGCTGCCGGCCACTTATGGTAGCGTATAGCAGCCCACTGCAGCAGGGGCTGCAGCCTTCGCCATCGACTCATGACAGCCCAGCTCCAGGTCGAGCTGTTGTTCACCATCTTAGCTGTAGAGGGCGCAGTGTCACTGGCTCATGTGGGATCTGAAACGGGGCCTTGCTGCCCAGAGCTAGTGTCCCAAGCCAGCTCTTAACCAACGTGCCACTCGGCCAGCCCCATCCTTTGAAATTTATTGTGGCTGAAATTTTATATGGCCCCTCATATTATCCATCTTGGTGAATATTCCAGCTGCTGCTGTTGAGTATAGTGTTCTATAAATGTTAATTTGGTTGCGTTGGTTCATAGTCTTTTTTTCAAATCTTCTATATCTTAATTGATATTTTGACTACTTATTCTGTCACCTGCTAAAAGAGGGCTGTTAAAGTCTTCAGTTATGATTGTTCAATTATGATTTGTCTATTTCTTTAGTTTTGTTAGTTTTTACTTCATGTATTTGGGATCTGTGTCAGTAGGAACCTGCACATTTAAGATTTTGCCACCTTAATGAATTGACCTCTTGTCATTGTGAAATATCCTCTTTATCTCTAGTATCCTCTTTTGTCTTGAAGTCTACTTTGTCTCATAGTAATGTAGCCACATCAGCTTTCTTTTGCTTTTTACATGGTTTATCTTTTTATGTCCTTTTATTTTCAATCTGTCTTTGTATTTGTAAATAACATATGGTTGGGTCTTACCTTTTTATCCAGTGTGACAGCCTCTGCCTTTTAATTGGCGTGTTTAGTACGTTTACATGGACTGTAATTGTTGATATGTTTGGGTTTAAATCTTTGATCTTGGTTGTTTGATTTCTGTCTAGCCTGTCTTCTATTTGTTTCTGTGTTCCTTCTTTCCTTCCTTTTTTGGTGAGGGTGAATTCAGTATTTTTTAGTAGTATTTCTTTTTGTCTCCTTGGATTTTTTTTTAATGCTTTTTCTGTTATGTTTTAGTTGTACTCTAGAGATTATAATGTGCATCTTTAATTTATCATATTTTACCTTCAAAATTATTCTCTACTTCATGAACAATGTAAGGACCTTACTACAGTATTACAGCCCTCCTTCCTTTGTGTTATTTTCTAGAAAACCATACTATACATTGCCATTATTTTTATTTCAAACAGTTTATAGTCTTTTAAAGAGATTTAAAGACACACACATCTATATATGTACATCTAACTTTTTTTGAAAGGTTCCTTGACATTTACTGACATATTTAGCCATTCTGGTGTTCTTCATTCCTTCCTGCAGAGCCAGGTTTCTATTTGGAATCATTTTCCTTCATCCTAAAGAATTTCTTTTGGCCTATTTATGTAGTGCAAGTCTGCTGGAGACTAATTCCTTCAGCTTTTGATTTTTGAAAATGTATTTATTTCCCTTTCACTTTTGTAGGATATAGATTTCGAGGTTGGCTATGTTTTTCTTTCATCACTTTAAAGATATTGTTCTCTGTTTTCTTTGTTTTCTGATGAGAAGTCAGCCATTGTTCTTACCATTGTTTCCCTGTACATCCTGTGTCCTTTCTCCTCTGGTTGCATTCATGATTTCCTCTTTGTCTTTTGTTTTCAGGGTGATAACCATGATGTGTTTATATATGGTTTTCTTTGTATGGACTGTGCTTGGCGTTCTCTGATCTTGGATCTGTGGATTGATTTCATTCATCATTTTGGGGAAATTCTTAGCTATTATCTTGTCAGTATTTTTTTGTCCTATTCTTTCTTTCCTCTGCTTCTTAGATTTCAATTATATTTATGTTAAACTGCTTGTTATTGTCCCACAGAGTTCATGTGCTCTGTTATGGTTTTTGCTTTTTTCTCTGTGTTTTAGTTTGAGTTTCTGTTGACCTATCCTCAAGTTCACAGATTCTTTCCTCTATTGTCTGTTGATAAGCCCATCAGAATAATTTTTATCTCTAATACCACATTTTTCATTTTTATAATTTTTATTTGGTTTTAAAAATATGGTTTCTAAATCTCTGCTGATATTCTCCATCTTTTTATGCATGTTATACGACTTTCCCACTATATCCTTTAACATATTTTTCAGTTATTTTAAAGGCCCTGTCTGATAATTCCAACATTTGGACCATCTCTGGGTCTTATTCTATTGGACTATTTTTCTTTTGTTAATAGGTCAATTTTCTTGCTTTATCACATGTCTCATACTTTTTTATTCAATGCCAGACATTGTATGTAAAAGAACAGTGGAGACTAGAGCAGAAAGGGTGGCTGTTAGTGTAGGTGGGTTGAGTCAGTTTTGTCTGTAGTTGAACTGGGTCTGGGTTTTGTTGCTTTATTTAGAATCAGTTCACCACTGCCTTCACATTGTTAAGAATGGGATCAGAACCTTCCTTTTAGCAGGACTTGGGATTTGAGTGTCTGGAGAGTTTGACTCAGTTCTTCTGTTTTACCTTCAGCCTTCAGCAGGCCCATGTAACTGCACTTTGGGGTATGGTCGAGGGGGTTCTCTTTCAATTCTCCAGCTCCTCCTCCAAATATAGATGGTCACTGCTCCAGCTGACCTTCTCTGTCCTGATGTCTTTTGGAGGTCTTTTTTGGTAATCCTTCTGAGATCAAGTCTTGTTTTTTTTCTTCTAGCCACTGTAGTCTGCAGATCAAAGCTCTGGCCAAAATCCATGCCTTTGTTCAAGACACGTGAGTGTTGCCCACTTTCCAGAATTCGCCTATTTCAAGGGAAGATCTCTTTGTTTTGTTTACTTCATTTCAACAAACGTTTAAAAACATCTACTGTTTTATCTCACACTCTGCTGTGGTCTCTGAAGGGTGCCAGAAAAGCATATGGCATGAACCTTGCCTTTAAAGACTTTACATTGTCTTTGGGAAGATATAAGAGTAACCAGGGAAAAGGATACAGGAAGAGTTATTAACGGTGCACTAGAGGGTGAAGGATGATAATGTTTAGGGGACACAAGCGTGAAGAGTGATCAAGAGAGGAAAGGTAGGACTCATTAGGGAACCTCTCTGGTGAGGGCAAGCATAAGCTAATTCAGCTTTCTGAGGCATGGTGACGTCTGTCGGGATGGACTTAATGTAGCCTGTGTCAGCACAGGAGGAGCCAGAACGTACTGACGGGTAATTGGAAGAAGGGTGTGTGGGAAAGGAGCCCCGTCACCCAGGTGGTTGGTCAGGAGGGCAGTCTCCTCCTTTCCTTTGTGGTAAGAAGCAGGGGAGTGGCGGGGAGGGGGCGGCGGAGGGGTGGCTCCTCCCGTCTTCAAGAGGCAGAGCCTTGTGACTGTGACAAACACTCTGGGCTAATGGCAGCATGGCCTCCGTGTATGCACATATATTCCTTCATGTGGGCTTCTGCTCTGGGATTCTAAGGGGCGCACAGGAGGCACACTCCTTTTACCTCACGGAGGTTTTAATCACTTGCTGGCTTCATTTTCCCAGGACCCTGAGTGAGCCTCGGCAGGCAGAGATCCGGAAAGAGTGCCTCCGTCTTTGGGGGGTGAGCGTCTCCCCAGCCCACTGTTGCCCCAGGGCAGGAAAGCTGTAGAGAAGAATGGGACTCACCCCCAATCCTGTCACCTTAAGGTCTCCCCACATGAAAATGTCTGCCTCCCCTCACCGCATTCCAGAGATGAACATCTCAGCATTGTTGGGTGTTACCTCCTGGGCCCTTTCACTGCCAGTTTGGCCCTGCATTTGGGTCACAAAGGACAGATGATGGGTGAACAGGACTTAGTTTGCTGCTGGTGGCCCTGTGTAGCTACACTGACCATAGAGAGCCCCAGAGAAAGGGCATTTGGAGTGCGCTACCACAGGGCCTGAAAGGGAGCAGTGACTGAGTTATCCACCTCCTCCCCCTCTGCCTAGACTCCTGCGTTACACACCGTTTCCTCTTCCCCAGTCTGAACCTAGCCCCTCGCCTGCAGAGGCACAAACAGCCTTGGTCAAAAGTGTATTTGAAAGTCAAAGCTCTTTGCTGTCTCTTCAGATCCCAGACCAGGCTCGAGTTGCTCCTTCTTCCTCAGACCCGAAATCTAAGTTCTTCGAGCTAATCCAGGTAAGTTTGGTATCTGGGGGAAATAAAAAGCAAGAGAGGCCTAACTCTAGGTGTGGAAGGCATCACTGAAACCCCAGCTGCCTGGCCTCCAGAGTGCTTGTGGAGGTCGCACCTGGGCTCTGTCCGAGGGGCTGGGCTGAGGCCATCATAGGTGGGAACCTTCTGTGTAGGGTGTTGAGTTCCCCGAGAGCCCATCAGGCTGCCTGAAGAGTCTTGTCTTGAGATGTGTTGTGCTCAGCATTCCCGCCACCTGTAGGATGGTGCTGAGTATCACTCCCGGGCGAGTTTGGGGTCCTGTGCGATTTGCCTGCAGGGGAGACATGAAGTGTGGGATGATCTTAGGCAGGGGAGCTGGGCAGAGGGCTGGGGGGGTGCGGTGTGGGGGCTGCCAGGAGAGCTCCGCCGTGGGGCTGGCCCAGCCCTTGGCTCCCTGTCCTGTTTCTGGGGAGCTGGTCCTTGGAATTTTTCTGCCCTGTTTTTTCCTGCCACCTGACTTCTAGTTTTTCCCGGGGCTTCATTTAAATCGGGTCCAGGTCATGGGCCATTGTGCTGGTTTTGTGGGGCCAGGGACTGGAGAATAAGGTTGAAGATGACCTCAAAAGAATAGCATGTGTACATTTTTCTGAATGGGGTGGAGAGATCACTTAACTGCTCTCAAACCAGCTTCTGGTGAGTTCTTACCCTCTGTTTTATTGGAGAGGTGGCTTTTATATTCTGGTGACATTTCCTTATAGCTCTGGTAAATCGACCTGTACTTGGGGACTTGGTGCTGTTTCCTTTCTCAGCTTCTCCTAATAGGTCCTAAAGGAACACTCCGGGCAGATGGAATGAGATCCCTGTTAGTGCATGGTTAGGGAGAGCAGGGGTGCAGGGGGAGATGTTTCAGAGAGCAAGTGCTTCCTGCCCCTCGCCTCTCCCAGCCTGCCCCACGCCCACATAGGCTCCCATACTGAGCGCCTGTCCCTTCCCCCAACCCAGCCGTGTTTTCTCTGACCCGGGGCTGCAGGGCACTGAGATTGACATCTTCAGCTATAAGCCCACACTGCTCACCTCCAAAACCCTGGAGAAGATCCGCCCAGTGCTTGACTACCGCTGCATGGTGTCTGGCAGCGAGCAGAAGTTCCTCATCGGCCTGGGGGTAAGTCTGCAGCTGGCTGCCTACCCAGCTGGAGGGGGGTGGGGCAGGCGGGCTTGGAACCTTGCCCTCTGTCCTTGCTAATCTGGACAGCTATCTGCCACATTTAGTGTGAGTTCTCTTAGCACCAAGGAATGGGGCTTTGACCTCAAGGAAGGTTATTTCTTGTAACTTCACTTCCTTTCTTCCTCTGAGGTAGCCAGTTGTTACTCGTTTGTTCATTCTTTCTTCCATTTGTTTATATCCCTGCATTGCTGAAGGGAGCACTGCTTCTTTTCTTGTGATGTGGAGCTTCCCCTAGGCTAGCAGGATGGTCAGCAGGCTAAACGGGCTTGAGCCCATGGAGCCATTTCTTTGCAACACCACCACCATCCCATGTCATCCTCTCTTGCAAAGACACACCTGTCCTTACTTGGGGCCCTGGGACTCTAAAATGAGGTGAGGGAAAGCCTTGGCAATTCCGCGTGTGACTTCACTGAGTCAAGTCATTGCTCTTTCTTTCCACGCTGACTTGTCTCTGTAATTTTATCTCTTCTCTCTTACTTTCTGTGTGTCCACTCACATTTCTCTTTTTACTTCCTCTCTCCCGCTCTGCTCTCTGGACCCTGCACCACACCCACCTCAGACATATGCACCAAGCTGGCTCTTTCTTGAGGGCCACTAATCATGTATTAGGCCTTTTGAATGGTGCCCTGGGTGTGTTCCCCTCCTCCAGGACTAAGCTGGATCTCTACTTCTCTTCCGCTGAGGCAGCGGAGGACAACGCCGTCATTATCACTGACGCAGAACCGACTCATCTCTCCTAGACATTTTCTTTTGACATTTCCCAGCCCTGTCAGCTTGTAGCTGCCAACTGCTAAGAAGCCATTTTCAGAACCGAGCCTCTCGCCCCTCAGTCTCTGTGCCTGCCTGACCCAGGCCTTTCTCTCTGCCCATAGAAGTCCCAGATCTACACGTGGGATGGCCGCCAGTCAGACCGCTGGGTCAAGCTGGACCTGAAGACAGAGCTACCCCGGGACACTCTGCTCTCTGTGGAGATCGTCCATGAGCTGAAAGGGGAGGTGAGAGGTGGTTCTGCTCATGTGTCCTGGTCCTGCCAGCTAGGAAATGGACACAACTGAGCCCCCCCACACACACACACAGTTAACTGGGTTCCATTGTATGTGGTGCTTGACAGGGCCCAAGGCCAGGGGAAGGCTTTGTAATTATTCCTCCTCCTTGAGCAGTTGTCTAAGCCAGGGTATGTTCAGGTAGGAAGCCCAGTCCCCATATATGGAGGAGGAGACCTCTGTCATCTCTGTGCATCCAGGGCCCTGGCGGGCCTGCCGGGTATTTTTTAGCTGCTGATTTCGTTTGACCAGGGATCCCTTGGAAAAGAAGAAACTTGTTATTTCCCACGAGCTTTGGGTATTACAGCCATACGGATGATTGTAGAACAGTCACTGGGGACAGTTGGCAAGAGTGGGAAGCCAGGCCCTTGGTGGGAGTACCATGGCAGCAGCTTCTCTGGGTTTGAAGTTCAAGGGGGCTCATCACCCAAAGTCTCAGATCTCTGCTCATAAGCCTGGGCCAGTCCGGTGCTGAGAATCAGCTGGGAGGGAAGCAAAAGAAATACCCTGTGCTTAGAGCCCTTCCCTTCTCCTGCTGTAGGTAGAATGGAGGCCAGCATGCCGTGTGGGCAGAGGGGCCCCAGGCTGATGCATGGCAGGGTGGGCAGTGTACTTGTCTTTCTAGGGGAAGGCCCAGCGGAAGATCAGTGCGATCCACATCCTTGATGTCCTCGTGCTGAATGGCAGCGACGTGCGGGAGCAGCACTTTAACCAGCGGTCTGACCTGGGACCTGGGGGAGGGAGGGCAGGGAGGGCCCGGGCAGCTCTGGGGCAGCAGCCTCTGCGGGATGGCCCTGCACCCAGGCCTTCTCTGCTTAAGGACACCCTTACAGTTTCCCGTCCCATCCCAGGTCAGGGTGAGAAATGGGTGTGGCACTTCAGAGTGTGCTAGGGCTTGGGCTTTGGTGGACATACATACCAGCACGCTCCCATTCTGCCACAGCTGTTCGCGTATCTGGGTTAAGGTTCAGCAAGAGGGTGATCTTATGGGGAGAAGGAAGGTCTTCTCTGAAGACCATGTCTCATGCTGAGTGGTCCATTTAAGTCAGTTCATCTGCAGCCCACAACCCCCACAGAGGCACTTTCATTGGTGGATGGGTGCCTTATTAGGTGGGGGACAAACGGGAGGGTGGGGCATGTTGCACCACCATGTTGCTGATGTCACTCCACAGTGGGTTTATCTGAGTGGGTGTTCTGTGGTGTCTGTGGTTTGGGGTGATGGAGCAGACACAACAAAGATGATATTGAAGTTTAGTGGAGCTGCCTGAGCACAGCTGAAGGCACACTTCGGGAAAACCAGCCAAGATGTAGCGAAACTAGAGGACACAATCCAGAGAGAGGGAGAAGGTGTGCATGAGGACATCAGCGGAGAACAGCAGGGGGGCTTCCTTGGGGACATGAGTCTGCCTCGGAGCAGTTTTGCCGCAGGTTCAGGAATGTTCTCCCCCTGATGCTGTGGAAATGCCCTTGCTTGTGTCTGAGAGACTGTTTGGATTGTAGAATTCAGCTTGCTGAGAAATTTGTGAAAGCTGTTTCCAAGCCCAGTCGGCCTGACATGAATCCCATCAGGTGAGCATATCATTTCTTCCCCCCAACGCCCCTTCCCCTGTTGCTGCTTTCTGGCCAGTGCCTGCTTCCTCGTCCTGTGAAAGATGGGGGAGGGCTCAGTGGAGGGAGCCAGGCAATGATGGTGCTAGAGATGACTGCCCTTGATGGGTGATGTGTTTGGGGGTGCTAGGTGGGCAGCTCCTTCACCCCAGTCACTCCCCATCCTGCCTGTCACAGTGGGCCAGCCTCCACTGGAGATTCATTCCAGGGGTTAAGGTGTCCTCATTTAAGATGCTCGTGCACACAGACACCTCTGTGAGTCACACATTCACACTTGAGCATCATTAGCATATCACCTGGCCTTTCATTTTCTTTAGGTAAGTAAAGAGTGCTGAGGGCTGGGGGTTTTGAACATGAAAAAGAGAATGGTTTGAGGGAGCGGGATCCTCGGTGTTTGGAAAGAAGGCCAGGGTTTGCTGCTGTGTTAAGTTGTGTGAAAGTCCTGGCCCTGAGGGAAGAGGAGGATGAGAACAGTGAGGGAACAGGCAGATGGGGAACAGACTTCCATGCTCGGCGAAGCGAGGTCTGAGGTTATTACCTCTGCAGCTTCATATGACTAGAGACTGAGGCATCTATACTTTATTAAAATAATTTTTATTATTTTTAATGTAAATGTACTTAGTTAAAATTAAATCCAGTACTGAGAATGCACTTTATAGATGGCTTTTGAAAATCTAAAAGCAGTTTCTTCCTGCGCTTGAAAATGTCCTGTCTGCCTGGTCCTGAGACACAGCTCCCAGGAACCCTGTCTCTGTTGCTTGTGGTCCTGTTGCTCGGTCTCTGGGGACCTTTCCCAATAGCAGTTCCCAAGGCGTGTTCAAGGGCCCCGAGAGGTAAAGGGCTGGATGTCAGACAGGAGCCAGGCATCCTGGGCAGGGGTCCCCGCCCTCTATGGTAACAGGCCTATTAGGACTGCTTGGAAGTAACCGTGCTACAGGAAGGCCTCAGATCCATGTAGTCCGATGTGGGCGGGAGTCTGCACGTTCTGGCCTCTGGAAACGGTGTGACGAACTGGGGTAGGAATGCTGGCAGACATCTTTGTCTGCCAGCCCTTCCTCTCCCTCCTGTCTTCCATGGCACCCTTCCCCTTCCCTCCTGTCTTCTGTAACCATAGTTGTACTCCCAGTTGCCAGGGGCAGCCCTGGGGAGCTCTGAAACCTAGGGCTTGTTTCTGTAGGACAGCATTGTGACAGGTGGGGGTCCACATTCTTGGAGAGTCTGGTGGTGCAGGGGCCTGAGGCTGAGGGCGAGGAGAGGCCCAGCCGCCTGCCTGCCCGCTGCTCCCCCCCAGGAAGCCTTTGTCCTCTCTCTGTCCCTCTGCCTGCAGGGTGAAGGAGGTGTACAGACTGGAGGAGATGGAGAAGATTTTTGTTAGGTGAGTGATCCGGATTTGAGAGTCGGGTGGGGGGGCATGGCATTGTCCATGAGTTGTTCTGGTTTTGAGTGGAAGTGGTTGTTCGGGCGGGGAGCTGGCCCGGCAGGCCCCCGCTATCCCCCACCTCTCTTGCCTTGGCGCAGCATGGCTCCGCTGCAGCCGAGAGCCCCCTGGCTGAGAGCTGATTCAGCACCCTGTCAGGAGGGGAGGAGGCGGGTGTGTGTCGGGCAGAAATATGGGCTCATTGATGGTGTAATAGTCACGATTGTCCCTGTGAGGGGCAGAGTAGCAAGCTGCTTGAAACACTATAAATCCCAGCTCCTGGTGCTGACACAGAGATTGAGCCTGGAGAGGTACAGGGGGCATAACTGCTTCCTTACATTCTTAGTGGTATTGGGGTGCTCAGATCTGTGGGTCTCATCCTGGGTGTGCCCCCACTGTGGCATCGAGTCTCAGTGCTCTGGTGTTAACTCTTTACTGGCCACAGTGATGCCATGGGTGGTGGACCCAGTGGCAGCCGTGGTCTCAGACCTCCCCCTTACTGAAGCACCCCAAACAACAGTCTGTCAGGGGCGTCTGTCACTCCCCTGCCTCATTACGTAGGTGGGAGTCCTGAACCGAACACTGCACTAATCACTTGCAGTGTGGCCTGGAGCAACACACTCGGGTCTCTGCTGCAGTTTCTTATGTCAGACTGATAAAATACTATGGTTGGTGTGATTTTTTGATATCAGAAACTAATGTTAGGGCTTTCTGGTTCTCATGCCCACTTCCTGTTTGCACGCCTCCTCGGGGAAATCAGGTTAGAGATGAAGATCATCAAGGGCTCCAGTGGCACCCCGAAGCTCAGCTACACAGGGCGGGACGACCGGCACTTCGTGCCCACTGGCCTCTACATCGTCAGGACAGTGAATGGTGGGTGAGGAGTGATTGGTCCCTGTCCCCGCCCCCCAGTCAGGGTGATGGGCCCAGACCCTGCCTGGGCCAGAGCTAAGGGGTCCCTACTAAGGTGGGTAGCAGCCAGGCTGGCATTGCTTTGAGGTGTTATGGTGGGGAGGGATTGTGTTCCCCGAGCCTCTTCTCCGGTGTTTCCTGGGGGTTGGGTTGGGGCTGGGGAGAGAGGACCCCAACTTGTGTATGCACGCATGGTGTCTTCATGGCAGGAAGAGGGCCTTCTCATTGGGCAGCAGCCGATCCAGAAAGTCAGGCTTGGCCATTTGCGTCCCCTATAGAATCTCTTTTCTTCAGTGCCACCTGGTTAATAGAGTGCTGCTCCCTTTGCCAGGGTCCCAGAGATGTTATCCTGGTGGCAGGCTGACAGGACTGGGTGGGGTTGTTGAGAAGTAATTAGCTTAGTGGTCCTCCTGGAGCCCCATTGGGCTGATGAAGGCTGCATCCTCATAGGCTGCCCTGTGCCTTCACTTCGGGGAGTGGAGAAAGCCACGGCCTTCCTTGGCCTGGCCTATCCCCGTGGGTATCCTATGTCCTTTCTGGGCTTCTCCTCTTCCTCCTGTCAGAGCCATGGACTATGGGGTTCAGCAAAAGCTTCAAGAGGAAATTCTTCTATAACAAGAAAACCAAGACCTCTACCTTTGACCTCCCTGCAGACTCCATCGCCCCATTTCAGTAAGTCGTCCTCCTGGCCTGCCCCTCAGCAGTCCCAGGGTGCTAGCCAGCCCTCGGTGCACGCCAGGTCCTGAGACCCATTGCTGCCCACACAGGGGCTCCCCTGGGCAAGGGCTGGGCTCCTCCCCTCCAGGGTGGGGCTGGGCCTGGGTAATAAGGGGTGATAGGAGAGTGATACCAGGACCTGCTGTGAGGGTTGGGGGTTCTGGGTGCAGAGGGCCCCACGTAGGTAGGGCTTCTGCCCCACTGAGCAGCCACAGTTCACATGACTTTGTGACACTGGCCTGGGGGTGGAAGTGTGCTGAGAGCACACAGCCCTGCCCCTGGGGACTCAGGGTCCCAGCTGTCCCTAGTTAGGACCCAGGGTCCATTTGCCAGACTGTGGGTCATAGGTTCCAACAGCTGCCGGCAGCCCCAGTATGCCTGTAACTAGCCATTGACACGAGTTTGTCACCACACTCATACTGTTCTGTTGGAACAGCACAGATAAATCAGGAATATCAGTAACTGTAGAAATCCAGTTGGATACAATTAGCAGCAGCAGCTGTTTGTTGGGAAAAGCTGGTTCTAGAAGGCAGGGAGGAGCTGGGGCCTCCTGGGGGTTTGGCTGCCCAAGGAAAAGCCCTCAAGTGGAGTCACTGATAGAACCCCCGCTCCCGACTCTTAAGAACACCCATCCATCCCCTAAGCCACAGTTGCCTGGGGTTGGGTGGTGATCCCTGGGCCCCGCCCCCTGTGGGTGCAGCCCTCTGACCTCCTTTCTCCTCCCCAGCATCTGCTACTACAGCCGTCTCTTCTGGGAGTGGGGGGATGGCATCCGCGTGCATGACTCGCAGAAGCCCCAGGACCCGGACACGCTGTCGAAGGAGGATGTCCTCTCCTTCATCCAGACACACAGCGCCTGAGGGCCTGGGGCCGCCACTCCTGCTGAATGCCTGGGGCCCACATTCCTCGTTCCTTCCCCTCTCGGAATGGGAGGGACAGGGGGCACAGTCACTGCAGCCTGGCCATGAGAGGGGGTGGTCTCCTCTCCACCTCCCCTGAAGAGCTTAGTTGGGGGCCTTCAGAGGACACTCACGTTCCTTCTGGGACACCTTTTAGACTTCCCTCCTTGGAGACCTGCCCGGGAACTGTCTCCCCCGCCAGGACTCAGCCTGAAGGATGCTGCTCCTACGGCGGGTGTGAGGTCAGGGCCCAGGGCATGTAGGGCCGGTGGAGGACATGTCCGAGAGCAGCAGGGCCTTAGCCCTGCCCTTCTCCTGTATCGTGTAGACTCACTTTTCTGAGTTCCGTGCACTGCCCTGAGGGTGGCCACGCTCCTGTGTTCCCCAACTTTTTACTAGGCCAACCCGAGTGGTTGAAGGCCCCCTGTTGTGAGCTGGCCAGGACCAGCTGCTGTACAAATCAAGGCTTTGTTTCTTTGAACTTGTTCTGTTTTGATGCCAAGTTGGAGAAGATTTTGTCTCCTTCCCTGACCCTGTCCTGGCCTTCTCCGGAGCTCTTCTCAGCCTGGACCTCTGACAGTCCCGCAGGCCGGGAAGGGAGGTATGTGGGCCCCAGGTCCCTGACACCGCACCAGGATGCAAGTGGCACTGTCTTTGGTAGTGGATGGGACTGCCTCCTGGGCCCCGTCCCCTTTTGACTGAACCTTGGGCAGCTCTAGACGGGGAGGAAGTACCCTTGATGACCTGCCTTTTTCTATGTCCAGCAGCAGTGGCCCCACTGCAACAAAGGGGACCTCTGGGGTTGGGTTTGACCTAGTCCTCTGGCAATCATGGCACCCTTGTTTGCCACAGCCACCTTGCCACCCTTCCCCCACCCCGTTTTTCTTCCCCAGTAGGTGGTACAGTCAGTCACTTTTGTCATTTTGTGGTCACTCCATTTCTCCTATGTTGGTGGAAGCGGAAGGGGAAGAGGGGAAGCTGGGCAGTAGCTTTGGGTGGGGGAGGACACCTGTGGTTCTTCTTAATGGGAAATACCTCTCAGAGATGCTTCTACAGGCTCCCTAGGGCCCCATCCCAGTGCTAGACTGGTTTCCATGGCGATAGGGCACAGCAGCTTCCTGTGAGGTTGGAATTGACTCCACCTGGGGGGGTATCTCCAGTCAGCACCCAGTCCTCCCCCGCCTCCCCCTGTTGGCAGCAGCACCACTGAAATGCTGTATTTCCACCCAATTCTGGGTATATCAGTGTGTCTTGCAGAATCTTGGATCATTAAAGATAAACATATTTTTAATGCCTGTGTGGCTCTGTCCTGGGGTTGCTACTGGTTGTCCTCTGTGCTTTGCAGTCTGGGACTGGTTCAGATAAAACAGCTTGGGCTGAAGGTGAAAGGGAGGAACCTGTACTCAGAAGAGGGGAGAAGGAGAAGAGGGTTTGTTTAATCAGAGCCTTGTCCAAGCTCAGAACTCCCAGGGCTGGGGGCTCAAGGAAGTCAGGAAATGAGGCAGCTCATGTTAAAGCCCCAACTGGAGAATGAATGACCCTACAGCCCAGCAGGTAGGGAGGCACTCACCCCCTTACATAAATCACACAGCTCACTCGTGGTGTACTGTGACAATCCAGGATCAGTCTGAGACTAAAATAACAGAGGTGTCAGACCAATGAGTGTCACTGGCCAGGGGAAGAGAGAGGGAGAGATGGTTTCGCTGACCCCCAGCCAGCCTCCCCTCCTTTGTGTGCCTACACTGGGGGCTGTGCATGGGGTTGGGGGACATGCGGGTGCTGATGGCACCTCCCTGTCTGTTCCAGGCTGGCTTCTCCACCAGTTCCATCACTCTGGTGCTGGTTTCCTCCCACAGCTTGCTGCACTTGGCTTGGCTGCTTCACTCTGGCCCCGAGGGGCCTGCCTTGATGTTCCACAGCCTGAGCTCCCGGGGCAACTCCTTTCCTTGTTTTTACTTAATTTAAACCCAGGGTGATCTGGGTTCCCAAGCCCTTCCTCCTGGTTGCCCTCCTCTGCCTTGCTCTAGCCTCCCACCCGACCCTCCTGGGCCCCGTGCTGGGAGTAGGGGTGGGGGATGTGCTCAGGGGCAGCAGGTGATGTCTGTATTTGCGGCTCCTGCTCTCCTGTCCGGCTGGCCCCACCTCTCCTGCTGCTCCCTGCAGACCCGGCCTGATTTACTGGCCACTGTCACCATAAGTCTGTCTGGTCATTACCATGGCTCTTGCTGCCCACTCACTGCCAGCCTCACCAGCCTTGCCTGCCTCTTGAAGATGGATTAAGTCCTTGCTCCCGTGGGACTGCCATACGACCACTTCAAGTCCCCAAGTTGCCCTTCACTGCCTAGGCTGCATTTTTTCTACCACTGACGGGAGGGCAAGACAGTGCATGTGGTGGTGGGGGGTGGACACGTGGCACAAGGGCTGTATCTCCAGTGATGCCCAAGCCCTGGAAATGGCTCCCAGCTTAGTTCTGACCTAGTGCTTCCCGCTGCCTCACCCCCACTTGAGCTGGGGGCGCCCCTTCACAGCCCCTCTTCTCCCTTTGAGTTCTAAGCCAAGAGCTTCCCCTTGAACATTCCTTGATTCCTGAGTGCCGCCCCCAGCTGCAGTCAGACCACCATGACATTTACTCAGCAGCCGCAGTGGCCTGGGTGTTCTTTATTGCCTGCCCCTTGGGTTGAGGGAGGAGCCAGCACAAAGTCCTGGACACCCAGGCCCCACAGTGGGATCGGGAAGCAGCTGAAGCCCTGCTCCAGTCTGGGTCGGGAGACATGGCCCGGTACCGTGGTCCTCGGAGGCCTGAAGGGCCTGCTTGGCTGTGAGCAGGTCGCTGAGGGGGAGCCTGCGCTGACTGAAGAAAGCTCAGGCTCACATGGTCCACCAGGTGTAGATAAGGCTCAGGAGGATGAAGATGGCGACCGAGAGCACCATGTGCTTCCGGTTCTCTTGCCGAAGCAACTTGAGCTCCTTCTCTAGGAGGAAACAGGGCATTGGACAGGTGGTTTGGGCCCATCTGCTACTCATCTGCCCCTGCCTCTTTCACAAATGGGGACACACACTGCTGAGGGCAGAGGGGTTCCTTCCCAGCCACTTCCTTAGCCACAAAAATGACTGTCCTTGATCTGCCCAGATCCTCACAGCCTTTTGGCAACAGATCCCAGCCCAAAAAAGTCCTAACATTGAATGCTCCATGACCATTTCTTTTCAAACGCAGTTGGGTTGAGGATGGAATGTGTGGTTATTCAAAAGGCCACACGTGAAAGCCACGCTAGGTGGTGGCATGGCAGTACCAGGTGAGTCCTCGGCTTGCCACTGGGTAGGCTCCGTGGTGTCATCCACCCAGGGTGTCTCATCTGGCCAACTACAAACTCGGCTCCTGGGGCCTCCTTGGCTGGACAGTGGAGTAGGCACAGGGCGGGACCACCCCACCAGTGCTTCCTGTCCTGCCCTCTGCCAGATGCCCAGCTAAGCAGGAACTCGGGATGCTGAGAGGCCGTTTGTGCTCACGAGGTAGTTGGGCTCACCTCTAGAGGAAGCCAGCCCTGACTGTTCTACAGCCACACTATCCATTCATCCTCTCATGCGACACTCAGGGGTACTCAGGGCTAAAGTGAGTGGTGATGCTGCGACTGCAAATTGCTAGGCTTGAGGGGGAACTGATGTCCCACTCTTACCTGTGTGAGGGAGCAGGGAGATACCTGCACACCAGCTCTGGGCAGGCCAGACTGAGCCCAGGGCCCAGGCAGGCAGTGTACCCACATGCACTGTGCTTACAGCGTTTTTTCACAATGGTCCCTCTAGAAGGTTCCCTGCCATGTGGACAGTTCTGGGGCTGGTTCTTGGCTAGGTTTGGCCCCTCGGGGAGAATAGAACAGACAAGTCTGAGGAGCCTCCACAGACCATCTTTCTCCCAGGCCAGCGGGGGCAGGGTGGGGGTGGGGTGGGCCAGCAGCTGCCCTCCAGCTCTGTGCCCTGCCTGCCTCTCTACATGGCTCTACCCCCAGCGCCCAGAAGGTGGCAGCATTGCTCCACCCCCAGTAGCCCTTCATGGGCCCAACTGAGAGGTTCATCCTCTTCACCTTGGCCCCCACGGCCCCAACTCCCACCACAGGGTTTTCCTGGGAGGAGGGAGAAGGGAGAACAGACCTCCCAAGTCTGGGTGGATGTGAGAATCTGGACCTACCTACTGCCATACCCCTTCATCCCACAGAGAAAACAGATCCACAGCCCTCTCCATCTCCCTTGGAACAAAGGAATGAAACTGCTATTCTTCCAGGCTGCTGGGCCCACAGTGGCTTCCTGCAACCTCCTGGCAGCTGACTCCCTCCTGAAGAAACCCCTTGGTCCCTCTCACCTTGTGGGCTCCCTGAGCTGTCTAACCCTCCTGATCCTGGGACTAGAGGGTGGGGCTGCTAGCAGAAGGGAACTTTCTTACCATAGTTGGAGGCTTTGTTCATCAGGCTGTTTTTCTCCTTCTCCAGAGACCTCCTGTGAAGGGGAAAGGAGTTTTATGGCTTAAGCCCTTTTCTTCCGTCTCACCCGAGGGGCAGCTGGCTCACCACGGCAGTTTGGACAAGGGGGACAAGGGCCCAGGTCTCTGATGGAGGGTAGAGGGCGGGGAATGGAAGCCAGGGCCCAGGACGGATGGGAGGGGCTAATGGGGGTGGTAGGGGAGGGGGCGGGAGCATTACCTGGCCTCTGGACTCAGCTCTGCCCCATAGAGCCTGGAGTTCACAGCTTCCAGGTCCCTCCGACATTGTGATAACTTCTCCTCCAGCCCATCGATCTGAAACATACCGCACACACACCAGCAGATAAAGATGGGCAACAGATCCTTTCAACTTTCAAAATAGTTGGGATTCAGGGGTGGGGAGGAGGTAGCCTCTAGGAGTCTTCCTGGACAGCCCCCGTCCAACCCCCAACATCTCTGTTTTGCTGTCCTCTACCTCCCATGTGATGCAGCACGAGCTGCACTGGAAATGGCTGGGGCTGTTGCTCAGGGTCTCACAGCTGCCGTGACCCACTGGGCCAAAGCATGGGCTGGGGACAGATAGGAGCAGCCCCTTGGTCACGGTCTCCCCAGTAGGGCCCCACAGCAGGAGCAGCCAGAGCTCTGAACGCAGCAGGCGCCTGCCACACAGGCTTATCCTAGAATGAATGAAATGCGATGCTTCGGGGAGGCCCTGCCTTTTCAAAGCACCTCACACACGAGAGATGGGTGATTAGATAACTAGGGTTCAAGAAGCAGACGTATTTTCCCCACTGACACACTTCATCTTAACGTAGTCTTAAGTTGTTAGATTATACATTTTTTCATGAGAATAAAAACAAAGGACAGAGTGTAAAAAATGCAGCTGAAAAACACTTCTATTTCTGACTGGGTTCTTTTGCAAAAACACTGCCCATCACCAAGGTAGTTATAACTTACACGGCAAAACAGCTAAGCTTCTGAGAGGTTGGTTGCCAAAGGTATATCGGTTTTCCCATTTGCTTCTAGTTTCAGAGATGTGTTCTTAGGGAAATAATTTGAGTTGTGGGAAAATGTTTTCTGAAATCCTGAGCTGGATCATCCAAGCCTGAGTCCTGGTCTCATGACTTGGCCTTGGAAGTTCATCTGGGCCCATCTGCCGCTCTAACCGGCCACCTCTCTGGGCCCGGGCCGGCTCTTCTTGCACCAGTGCCCTGCTGGCAGTAGCCTAGATTGTGGTGGGTGGGAAGGTGCAGAGGGCCCTGCGTCCCTCCAGCAGCTGACTGAATAGTACCTTGGGTCCCCATAATGCTCCATTTTCCATCTGACTTCACTCATTACACCACCTCTCTGGGAGGGACAGCCATCTGACCTCTATTTTACAAATGGGAGAGCGGGCTCCCAAACCAGAATGACTTCTCTGAGGAGTCAGTATGAAACACCCCTCTCCTTACTGGTCTCAGCCGGTTCTCTGCTCCAATACCTTCTGGACTGGCCCCCGCAGAGACGTAGTCAATGACTGATCACAAGTCCAAGTCCCAGAGTCCCAGGCAGGTGTTCTGGGGCCAGTGTCAGAGTTGCACCCGAGGTCTCTGGGACTTCTGCCCTCTGCCTGGCCATCACCCATCCCGGCCACTCCCCCTCATCCCAGTGCCCGGCACAGAAGATACACCATCTATGCCCTTCCCTGCAGTCCAGCCTGCTGCCAACTCCAGCTCTGGAAGCAGGGCCCTCTGGGAGGGAGCAACTGCAGAGCCTTGAGTTAATTGCTTAGTTAATTGTGTCATTTCTCTGCTAATGGGCACCAAAGGGAGGGCTGTCCTGGGAAACAGCCCCTGCCAGGAGATGGGGCCTGTGCCTGGGGAGGCCAAAGGCCACCCTAGAACAGGCGCTGTAGGGAAATGAGCTCTGGGGAGCCAGGCTCAGGGAACGGCAATAGCCTGATGTGATGGTTAGTGGAGCCAAGGGGAGCTGGCACTTCCGGCCACCATGAGGCCTCCCTTCACAGCAGCTCCCCCAACACACACAGCCCAGTCCCTGAGGACCCCGAGACTTGCTGTTTTCATTCTATGGTGTAAAAACTACAATCAGGACACCAAATAACATGTAGGTCCCAAACAAGGCTTCAGTCTTGAAGCTCTACCTCCTCCACGAGGCCTTGTGTGCTGCCCTTGGCTGCAGGGGTACTGCCTCCTCCCCCCTGGCAAATTAATGAGGCTGAGCACTATGTTATCCCAGCTGTCTGTGTCTAAACCTCATCTTCCGAAACTGCGAGCCCCTAAGGCAGATGCTGTAAACCTGCAGCCCAGGGGTCAAGTCTAAACTGGCCCATTCCACTCGAGTATGTGACTGCATGGCCCCTGAGGGTGCCTGGCTTTGTAGCTCCTGTCCTGGAAGGCATGGTGGCCAAAGGTCTCCTCCTTGTGGCCATAGGGCCTGGCCTGCTGCAGCCTTTGTGACTGTGGAGTAGGGCTGGGCATGGCTGGGGCTGCAGGGCTGGGATGGGTTTAGGCCTTATGTAGCAATGGTCTCTGAAACCCTCTGCTTGTGCCCATAGAAGGTGGAAGAAGTTAGAAGCAGCAGTTATACATGCACATAGGTATGTGCTCTGTGGATTACCTAATGCAAGTACTAGTCCTAAGTGACATTTCTCCCTGCCATCCTTGGGCTAGACCCAGGTTTGCATGTCATTCTGGGAAGGAAAAAGGTTGGGGATGTCCAGCCCTAAACACCTCTGGAAGGCTACCAGGTACCCAAACAAGCAATGACTGGCCCGGAGCAAGGCCAGGACTCAGGCTAAGCAACATCTTTAAATTGAGGTTGGCGCACTGAGTGGCCAGGCCAATCTGCCGTTGTGCTCTGGGCTGGGCCTGTGGAGCTGGCAGTTAGAGGCCTTTCTCTGAACAAGCCCAATTTATCTGCAGTTCCAGAGAATATCCCCACTTTCATTTACCACTTTTTAATGAGGCTTAAACAGACGAACACAAATCAAGGTTTTAAGGACTCAAGTTCTAACCTCCCTCTATGAATATTTATGTCCTGCTGACAGCTCTCTCCGACTCCCTTCTAAATAGCAAGTTCCCCTTTATAACCCAGCTGCTTGATATGGGCCAAGTGAGGGGAGGCTGAGACTGGCAGGAGGCTCTTTAGAAGGCCACAAGCCCATCCTCAGAAGGTGACCCCGCTGGCAGTCACACACCGGCAGCATTTGCAGAAGAAGCTGGCTCTCCAGCAGCTAGAACAATGGGTACAAAGATTCTGGGGGACTTCCCGGTTACAGAGAAGCCAGGGAGGGTCAGGATGCATCTTTTAGGTGTGACTGGGGTCAGGGGTGCCGGCTACAGAGCAGAGCTGGCAAGATGGGCCCAGAAATAGGGGAGAAGACCCAGAAAGTGGGCCTTAAAGGAAGCCCCTGGTTGGATGTTCAGTCAACTCTCAACGGCATGCACATGGGTTATGCACTTTCACATTTCCCAGTGCAAATCTAGGGTCCTCGGTTAGCTCTGCCACCAGGCTGAAGGCAACAGAGGACAAGACAGCCAGGACCAGGAGAGAAGACACGGGGGTTAGGACCAGAATGAGGAGACAAATGTCAAGAAGATTCTAGAAGCATCTTCCTGGGCAAGCAGTTGGAAGCCCAAGTGCCTAAAAGCCTGAAATTGTGGCTCCTGAAAAGTGTGGTCGTGAGGGGCGCGGGCAGTCATCAGGTGCTTCAGCTTGAGGCTCACTTGCCGTACTCCTTAATCCTGTGCCTCAGTTTACTCGTGTGTAAAACAAAGATGATAATGTTCCATGTTTCAAAGAGTTGTTGTGAGGATATGAGGCGATACCTGTAAGGTGCCTGAGCACATAGGAGTTCAGTGTTTGCTATCATTATCATCAGAGAATGTTTTTCGCTGGCTCTTTGGGGAATAAAAACAGTTAATCTGTGGCAAGAGTAAGAGAAGGAGCTAGAAGTGGGGGTGTGTGATGCAGAGACATCTCCACTGGTCACTGGCGGGTAGCAGTGGGAAGGGATGGGGAGCCCCTCTGACTCAGAAATGGCCATCTTGTGAGTCAGAGGAGGGGTTCAGCATGGGTGGGGGCCTGCAGAGCAGTAACACCCCTACAGGCCAGCCCATCTAGCTGGCTCAGGGCGTGGCATGCTGGGTACCTCAGGACTGGCCTAGGGATGAAGCTGTGGGGCGGGGCTCTGGAGCCAGCGCCAAGGTGTAGAGGCTGGGGCTGGAGGAACCCAGGGATGACAGGCCTAGCGCAGGGTCTAAGGGGCAGAACAGGCACAGGTGTGGTCTGGGCATCAGTGGGCATCTGAGGAGACACTGAATGGCAGGTGGCGTCCAGGTTAACCCACACCGTGGCTTTAGGGGCCTGGCATCCCATACACTGGAAGCTGGAGTGCAAGGTACCAGGACTAAGGCAGAAAGAGGCCCCACCAAAGAAATGTGACCAACTCCAGTGGGGAGAGGTTTCACCCAGGTCTCCTGCCTGACATGCTGGATACAGGCCAACTGGCAGGAGGAGCGGGCCCAAGACTGATCCCGGTGCTGGGATTTCCCTGCAGTTGTAGGTGGGTAGCAATGCTGGCTGAGACTGTCACTGGCTATAGCCAAAGGGGGGACTGAGACAGGGCACTCATTCAGACACAGTGTGGGGGGCAGACAGCAGATGTCCCCAATGTACAATTACATTAGGAAGCAAGTGTCCATGCATTGTTTATATTCAGAAGACCAAGTGTCCATTTTCCTACAGGGAAAGTCTAAGTCATTGAGGTGACAGTTAGCAGGCACAGCGTGGCTGCAACGGAGCCCGAGAAGGTAAAAGGCAGTGGCGTGAGCTCCCTACAAGTTAGCAAACTGTGCCTTGCGGCACCTCACACAGAGCTGAGGGCCTGGTAGGGGCTGTGTGAACCTGGGTGCAAGCAGCTCAGGGAACTGAGCCGTAGGTGGTAAGCTGCAGGGTGTGCTGGTGGGGAAGACTGTAATTTGACCCTCAGACCAGCAGTAGCTGAAGCCTGCCCAGGGGTCTGCTCGTCTGAGCCTGGGCAGGGAAGATGCCATGAGGGAAGAGGGGAGGAGGGGAAAAGTGGGAGGGAGCTGAAGGTCCCAGGGGGGCCTGGGGACAGGATCCAGGAGGGCTGTACTGTAGCACTGTAGCAGGAAAGGCCCACACGATTCCACCAGTCAGGGTGAGAACCGCTGCCTTCCTTATCCAAGCTCGGCCTGGGGCATTGGAGCCTGGCGGGCGGCTCTGAGTGGGCAGAGGATCAGGCTCCGTTGAGAAGAATAAGACCACGGATTCTCCACAGAGGTGGGGATGTT